ACAGTTTTACTTGATACCAATTGATTTTAGCCACATTGTCACCATCAAATCAATCCATCACTAATTGGTGATTACAACCAAAAACAACCAGCCCTTAGCCCCTAATCACCCAAACTCAAGAGATCAACCTTATAAACACGAATTCTACAACAATCGATCTACAACTACATCTCTAACTAGTTAGACCGTTAATCTAAAAGATTAAATTAGGTTAGTTTTGCAAGTAATTGTATAAAAAATAAATAATATGAATATAATGTTCAAAACAAAACAAACTTTTACATAAAAGTTTCCAAAATCAAACGATAAGAATCAATCCAATAATTGTCTTTTTTTTGTTTGTTTTTACAATAAGAATTTCATCAACCCCTCCCCAGTCCCCAACGACCACATCCTTTTTCTCTCTCTATATATATATCTCATCCCTTCATTTTTTTTCCTTAAGTCTCTTTTTTCATGAATCTTTTTTAATAATCTGTAATGAATCTCTGATTTCATCTCATAAAGACGAATTTAAAAAAAAAACCAAATAAATAAAAGCCACAGAGTCGCTCACCGGAGAGAGACCAGGGAAGTCTTGACCGACCACCACCATTGCAGCTAATACCGAAACCAAATATACACGTGTTTGTATGCAGACATGTACTTTGGGATCAAGAAACCATTAGAACGCTTAACGAGCGTTTTAGGCAAAGATGACAACAAAACGCTCCTTAGCTTTAGCATCCTGTTTTCGGACGTTTACCACTTGAATTGAAAGGCGAAACGCTTCCACCGCCGCTTGGCCCTGGACTCTCTTCCCTCAGGTTGTTCGAGTTTAGCAACGCCAGTTCCCTCAGCTGCTGTCTCTTTATGAAATCTTGAGACTCGTCCTTCATCATGAAAAAAACAAAATGTATGTTAAAATGTTACATTACTGGAATCCTACTTTTCATAACAAAGTATATTAAGATCAAAAACAAAACAATGAAAGTTTTGGCGTTTGCGATTACACCAATTGCTGCCTTGACTGGTGAATGTAGTGGTCACACATGTCTGCATAATTGAATACTAACGGCAAACGCCAAAGAGTGGGTACTGAAATATAAACGTTAAAGACAAAAAATAAAGCGGCCCACAGGTAATAAGTATAGAGTCTCAATGGTGCAAAACAACTAAGGAAGAATCTAAAATAAAAACGTGGCCTTTTGATTTAATCCCCACCACAAGGAAGAAGAGAACACTATAGCAAAACAAATAATAGAAGAAAAATTGAAAGTAGAAAAGGAGAAGTGTGTGTGTGTGTTACCACAGGCTTTAGTAGCTCTTCTATGATTTCTTGAGCTTGTCGCAGACGTATCTCCACAATACTCGCTGGAAGGTCTGCTTCTATTAAGATGTGAAGCTGCTCATTCAGGTGTTCGTATCCCGGTCTTCCCCTTAGCTTATCTTCCTACATTTTATCACCAAAACAATAAACGACAGAGAAATCTCAATCAGATGTATACAATCTGTTATTCAGTAATCTTGTAATCAAATTTGTGAAAGTGTTTGGGAAAATCCCAAATATTTCATGGGACTCACCTTTTCGGGATCCTTGATTGACCCTTTCCCTCTGATGAACACACGGCAACCCGTCGTAGCTTCAACACGTTTTAACGAATTGCCTCTAGGACCGAGAAGCCGTCCAACAAAATTAAACTGATAAAATAGAGGGAAAGAAAAAGTATGAACATTTCAAATATTTTATTAATTCCTTTGCAAATGATTACATGAAAAGCAGAGTGCTCACATTAGGATAGCTATCTACTGGAATCTCCAATCGCAAAATCCTTTTCACAGTGTACGAACTGGGGCTTCCGGGTGCACCTTGCCAATCCATTGTCATTCCAGGTGTTCCACCAAGTCTCTGTAAGAAATTTGAGTGTTTTAGCTTATCTCACCATACTGAACAAAAGTACAAGTAAGATCAATCGGCAAAAACACATTTTAGACAAGGTAGATAATTCTAATACTCTGGCATAAACTACGACATTGTGAATGAAAGGTGAAAACCTAAAACAACATTAGAACAAGATCACCAACTATTTAACTATGAACAGTCAGGCAAATTGATTGATAATACCTCCTGAGAGAGGCCGTTCCATCCGCCTAACCCGGGATTAGAGACATTAGACATAAGATTAGAAGAAGCCATAGGGCTGGGACTTCTGTGTCGAAGTCTATCAAAATCGCCAAATCCTTGGTTAGACATCATTCCAGATACCCTGAACATCTCTGCACATCAAGAAAGCTTTATTCATATAAACCACAGCAACAACACAAGGCAATTGAAAGTTTGACACTAAGATAAGGTAATGTTGGACACACTGATTCAATTAACCAATTGAGGAATCAAATTAATGAATGATCTGACCAATTAACTTGATCTCTCACTCTCTAAACTTATAAGATTAACTGATTTGAACATTTTGTAAGAAAATCTATGGACTTAAGTCATCCCAATCTGGTGAAACAAAAAGATAAAGCTAAAAAGGGCAATTGTATACTTAAGTGGGTGGAAAACGAAAACAAAGTAAACTTAGATCCGAATCAGAATCGAAATCAAGAGGAAGAGTGATTAAAAGGAAGGAAAAGAAGAACCTTGATTCAACAAGCGGCTGCATATCGGTAAGACCTGCATAAAAGGAGTAAGCTTTTGATGTTCGGCGAGAAGCTCCGACAAGTACTGAGAGCTGTTCGAAGCAAAAGAAGCCAAAAAAACAGATCGGTTTTCCTGTAAGAACCCAAAAGAAGGA